ATAATATTAAAATAAAAAATATATTTATATTATATATATACATATATGTACACCCAGTGTAAAAACCTAAAACTAAAAACTAAAAGGATGTCTTCAAGCTTCTGTCATGCAAGCTGACTCTTCAATCCGCAGTATGCAGCGGTGTTCGCACTCTGTAGATCTCCAGCTCAACGTCCAGCCTTTCACGATCATCCATAGGTCATCAACAGACATCTTCTTTGTGATAGCTTAAAAATACACCCGAGTTAAGTTTTTATGTTTGATATATTTAATTTAAAACTTATATGTATTTAGAAATATATAATAAGTTAAGAACATAATTTACAGTCAAACAGAAAAAAGAGATAAGAATGAAGGAGTTAGAATAAACATGAAGAGGCATGAAAAAATGTATCAACCTTTTAAATGAAATGGTATAATAAAAAGTGGTAACTTTTAGATAAAATAATGTAGCGAAAAATAGTAACTTTTAGATGAAGTGACATGTGAAAAATAGTAACTTTTAGATGACTTGACATCACAGAAAGTAATAACTTTTAGATGAAGTGACATTTGAAAAGTGATAACATTTTAGATGAATTAGTATGTAAAAAGTGGTAACCTTTAGATAAAATGACATGTGAAAAATAGTAACCTTTTAGATGAAGTGACATAATGAAATGTGACAACTTTTAGATAAAGTGACATGATATAATGGTGGCAACCTTTCTCTCGTGGCTCCCTACTCCAATAAATAGAAGATGAGAGAAGGGAGGAAGAGACATTCCGGATGAGAGAAAAATAGTGAGAAGCATAAGGGTGAAGGAAGAAGAAGGAATAAGAAGTGTGTAATTTTTTAGAGTAGTTTGAGATTTTAAATAAAAATCTTAGGGAAACTCTGTTAAATTTGTGAGAGCAGAGGAAGAGGAAGAGAAGATAAAAAAAGCTCACGATCAAAAGAAAGTTATAAATCGTTAGAAAGGTAAGTTTTTTCTTAAGTTTTGAAGTTTGGTTTCTCATTGATTTTTTAGATTAGTTTTGAGTATTGTGTTGAATATTTTTGAGTCAATAAAGTGACTAAAAATTATCTCGAAGCTCCGTCAAATTTTTTAGAGGAAAATGTCATAAATAAAGCTAGAAATATGCCATAATTAAGATTACGACTGCTAAGGACCTAAGATAAATAAATATTATAGATTCATACCCAATGTAGTTTTAAAGTATTTTACATATTTTCAGTATAAAAATGTGTAAGTATTTAATTTATTTTTCGTATTTGTTAAATAAGTATTTGTTAAAGTTTTAATTCGATATAAGTGTGCATCACTCATTGTGGAAATTAGTTGTTCTAGAAGCACCTACATTATGCTAGACTTCAATATAGTCATACATACTATTTCGTATTCGAGTGTATTGGTGAAGTGATAAGTGTATGGCCATACATAACCGTTTCATATTCAAATGTATGAGGAAACAATCTGATCTGTGTGCCCTAACCGTTCCGTATTCAGGGGGTAGTAGTGTTTGAAGGTACTCTTATATAACGTTCCGTGTTCAGATACATGAAGAATCAGTGATAAGTATTTGTGCCTACGGATAATGTATGGTAACTGATTGATCCTCTATAATAGCAATAAAGTATACAATGAAATAATTGTGAATATATTTTCTAATTTGTACATTCGTCTTCTAATTTATATATGTTTTGAAAATATTATATGATATATGTTTTGTTGTATGTAAAAAAATTATATATTGCATGTACTATGCTATGATTTTATAATATCACTTATTTAAATATTTTATCTTATCCTCCCTATCACCCTCCAGATACTGAAGATACTGCTGTAAAGTGAGCGATAATACAAAATAATTTTTTTGAAGTAGACTCTATGATTAAGGTTATTATTTTGTATCTTTATTTAATAATGTAAGTAATGAAATTTAGAATCTCGTACAAAAAAAGTTAACTGATCAAGAGAAATGTATGAGGATAAATGGTTGAAACAAAAAAAGCTGGGTATTTATAATGTTACTATTTCTAATTTAACCATTAAGTCAAAAGCTTCTTAATTACTATTATTAATTAAATAATTAATTCAATAGTTAGTGAGTCATTAATTTTGGAGATATTTCCAATTGTAGGTTCATTTAAATTTTATTGAAAGTGATAAGTCATATTTGATTAACAGTTACTCAATAAACATGTAACTCTAACACCTTATTTTGATCCTCACAAATTATTATTTATTTTATTAAATATAAAAATTTAATGTAATTATGTGTAATAATTATTTATTTAAATACAAATGTAATTATATTGGTAAATAATTTATTTTTTTATTACATACTTCTTATATGTCATTTATTATTACATATAATAGGTATAAGTAAATTAATAATGTGACTGAAAATACAATTATACAATCCTATCATTCAAATAAAAATATGTCATTAATATATATTAATATATAGTCATCTAAATATATAAAAAAAAAAATTATCATTTTCATCATATGTCATTGTCATTCAATTATTGTTAGTGTTATATATTAATTAATCATTACTAAAATTTATCCAAACAAGATTTAAGTATATTATATATAAATGTGTATTAAATCAATAGGTGACATAGACTACTCTATTGACATAGGCCTCTTGGGTTTGTGACTAATGTTTGAGCTAAACTTCTTCTCTGGGTCTCATAAGTTAGTAATTGTATTGTGCTTCAGTTTTTTATCAACAAAATTTGTCATCATTTAAAAAAAAAAAAAGTATAATTGTTTTAAGTCTATAATTAAATAATATAACATATACATGTTTTATACATAAACATGTATATATATATATATTATTGCCATAAAACTCAACAAGATGTGTATTATTTTAAATTATTTACATAAATGGCTATAAAAATTGCTTTCAGTTGTGCTCTGAAGGAGATTAAACACAAATCAAATACATTTCAAAACTTGAGGGTGAGAACCAATAGCTTCTTGTACCGTTGAGAATTAAGAAAGATATTAAGTTGGAAGTGTGAGAATTTTTATTGTTTTAATCATTATCATTATAATAAATAAATAACATCTTGGAAAGGTTATTTCTGGTTTTTGAGATGGAAAATCTAAAGCTTCATGCGGTAGACTTCAATAATTAAATTAATTATACATAAAGATAAATATTATTATGAATTTTTTTAACATTTTAAGGGCCCATACGTGAATAGCAATATTAATTTTACAAGGATAAATAACATTAAATACATTTGTTAAAAAAAAAAAGTCAGAAGTATTATTATAAGATGACATATATATATATATATAGAGTGGAGGAACAGAAAGTGGTGTAGTAGACAGTTATTGTATTGTAGTGGATGATTAATTATCTCTTTGTTCTCTTCTTTGTAAATCAAGGGAACATAAATATACAGTATCTGAACAACTGCAAACCACTCAAAACTTTTGTTGTTTCTAATTAATATCACATTGCATTTTATATATATACACACACACACATATGTATATATTGATGTCACCTATACTCCTTGCATACCTATGAATTCAGAAACATATATATTTTTTTCTGCGAAAAATTAAGAAAAAAATCACATGCAAAGTCTATATATTTGTAGTATTCTTGAATGGCATCTAGTAATTAGAGAGAAATTTGGGGGCCAATAATAAATTTGTATACTATATAATGAGACAGTTAATACTTGATAAATCAGAAAGACCCACATGGAATCTGAAGGAGTTGGGTCTCTGAGAATGAAGATGAAATCTCTGAAACCCATTGAAACGAAGAGGAAGATGAAGAGAAGAGATTCAGAAGAAGAAGAAGAAGAAGAGCCGCTGAGCCCCGCGGCTCGATTGTTTCACGAACCAAATTTTAACGTTCATATAATAGCCATCATGGGCTGCAAAACTGTCATTTACCCAGACGTCGTCAAGGCCAACCTCCTTTTCACTTTGCTTAAACACCCTCGCTTCTCCAGTTTGCAGGTATATATGTGGAATTCATTAGTGTATGATTCTCTCTATACATATATGATAAATTTCATGAGTTATCTAATAGAATTCTACAGTGCTAAATTGATTCTTTATATCTTGACATATTAATATATAATTATAATTTCATCTATTATTTTTTTAGTACAGCCAGCAAATTAAAAGAAAATATTTCGATATATTTATTTTAACTAAATAATGTAAAAATTCTATTTGAAATAATAAAACTTTGTTTGCACAGTTTAAATTTTCTTAAATTTTACAAATGTTTATAAATAATTTTTTATCAATTTAAAATATATACAATTTTAGAAATAAATTTGACGTAAATGTTTTGAAAGAGAAACAGGTAGCGGCCATCTTGCTTGCACGCCCGCAACGTGTTGTAAAATTTAGAAACCAATGTGTCCGCCGCTACAAGATAAACGTTTCTTTTGGCGCCTTTTATATCCGCTCGTCAACTTTAAATAAATATTTAATCTGATATTTTTAATTCCAGGTTGCAGATGAGAAAAAAAGAGGAGAGATGAAATGGGTACGCACGGAAGTGGATCTTGAAAAGCACGTAATAGTTCCCCACCTGGATTCCGCCATGGACGCACCAGACAAGTTTCTTGAAGATTACGTCTACAATCTCACCACCACCGTCATCCCCAACTCCCAGCCTCTCTGGGACTTGCATCTCCTTAACCTCAAAACCTCTCACTCTCAGGCCATCGCCATTTTCAGGATCCATCACTCTCTCGGCGATGGAACTTCTCTCATGTCTCTTCTTCTAGCTTGTACTCGCCAAATGCAGAATCCTCAGGCCTTGCCCACCATTCCTACCTCCAAACAACGCCAGAAAACTGGGAATAATTCCAAAAGCTTCTGGGTTTCCTTTTTTGTTTTGTGGTCATTTCTTAAACTGCTTTGTAATACCATTATAGATGTGTTCATGTTCGTGGCCACCGCATTGTTCTTGAAAGACACAGAGAATCCTCTCAAGGGTCCGCCTGGGGTTGAGTCAAGACCCAGGCGGATAGTGTTTCGAACTATTAGCTTGGATGATTTCAAGTTGATAAAGAATGCAATGAACACCGTGAGTATATCATACGCGCGCACACACACACACATATACAGCTGTTATGTATTTATGTAAATATTATGATGATATATATATATATATATATATATATATAATGGTCTTGGTTTGCAGACAATAAACGATGTTGCTGTTGGGATCACACAAGCTGGTTTGTCACGGTACCTCAATAGAATATATGGTAACAAACAAGCCGCTCCCGTTTTTCGTTTGCCTGACAAAATTCGAAAATGGCTTAGCAGAGAAAAAGTGGCAATTACTTAATTGGATTTACAGGATTTTCTTTCATGATTCTTGCAGGTGAGGGCAGGAAAGATGGTGGAGAAACAGAGAAGAAAAATAATCTGCCGAAGAAGATTCGGCTTCGATCAACTTTGCTTGTTAATATTAGAGCATCAACAGGGATTCAGGTCAATATATATACTATATATATATATATATAGCTTCCAATGATTGATTGTACGTGAATAATTAAGTTTTTTGGTGGATGCATATATATATATCCATATATACAGGCATTGGCCGATATGATGGAGAAGAACACAGAAGCAAAATGGGGCAACTGGATCGGGTTTATCCTCCTTCCCTTTGACATTGCAATACGAGATGACCCACTCGATTATGTTCGACAAGCCAAGGCCACTGTTGATAGGAAGAAGCGTTCACTTGAAGCAATTTACACTTTCTCCATTTCCGAGTTAGTTCTCAAGCTTTTTGGCATCAAGGTATACACACGTATACACATACACACACGCACTTATAACTACTCTTGTAATTGATACTATACACACATGGGTCATGGAGCTTATATATGTCTGTTTACGTGCTTCAACTGCAGGTAGCGAGTGCTCTCTCGCACAAAATTATATCAAACACAACGATGTGTCTCTCAAATCTAGTCGGACCCCTTGAGGAAATTGGTTTCTATGGCCATCCAATGGCTTTTCTTGCTCCATCTTCTTATGGCCAACCTCATGTAAGCTCTTCTTTCCTATTAAAGGAGAACATATATATATATATATGTATGTATGCATGAATGTAAGTTTGTTTATGTTAAATTGTATTAATTATTGGGTTATTACAGGCGTTGATGATTAACTTCCAAAGTTACGTGAACAAGATGAGCATCGTTTTGTCGGCGGATGAAGGCACCGTGCATAATCCTCATCAGCTGTGCGATGACATCATGGATTCGCTCAAGCTTATCAAGAACGCAGCCATAGCCAGAAACAATCAAGCTATGTTAATGTAAACTTGGACGACCTTCTTGCATATAGTCAAGACTCAGACAATGAAGAGTCTTACGTAATAACTATATACGCCTAGCGATCTTCAAATATATATATATAAATATATATATATGTCTATATACATGATAACCTTAGATGGGTTTTATGTTTTATTCCAAAGGGTTGAGGTGGTGGAATGGATATTGGGCTCTCTTGAGGTGGGTTTGGACTTTGTTAACTAAAAATAAATAAGGCAAAACCAAAATTGAAGTTGTTTGACCTTTGGGAAGTCCGTGAGTTTTGTGGCAACCCCATAAATTCGGTTTACCAAAAACTAATACAGCTTCGAGAGACCAAAAAAAGAAAAGTGAAAAAACAATTAAGTTGATTATTGAAAATAATTAACAGGAAGATGACCCAACAATCAAGGACGACGACGATGGAGCTTTCAAAAATCAAAATTCAAATGCTCGCCGTCCTTATCTTCCTCCTTGCTCAACTTTACCCTATCCTTGCCACCCCAAATAAACACCCAGCCCATCGGCGTCCAGCCCAACGCCCTGTAAACCCCATCGCACCCAATCGTCTTCCCAATCATTCACCTGTCAACCCCAGCAACCTGCCAGCCCCTCGTCACCACCGTCAAACACCTATCAAACCCACCAGCAACAGAAATAGAGCAGGTCATCGCCCGCGTGCGAAAAGGTCACGTGGAAATCGACTGGGAGGTCGTCGTCGCCGCCGCCACTGGCGTAGAAATCGTAATCACTCTCCCGTAAATCGCACCTACTTGGAAGCCTATCGACGTCGACACCATTCAAAGCCCGGTCGTCCCTTACCCATAAATCGTGGCAACAACCACCCAAAAGTGGAAAAAATTCACTCACCCAACAAAAATATTAATCCCCGGAGAGGACGAAGACGATGGCCGGTGAACCGTCCGGCACCTACAAAGCCCGTCCATATGCCAAATAAACCCATAAATCCACCAAAAAAACAATTGCCTGTAAAACCTATAAATCCACCACCAAAAAGACAAATGCCTGTAAAACCCATAAACCCCCCTACCAGAAATGTACCAGTACCTGTTAAGAAATCGCCTGTAAATCCTCCCACCACCAAAACTCCGACACCCAAAAGCCCCATCAAGAACATTCCAGTAGGAAATAAGCAATCACCTATAAATCCTCCTGCCACCGATAATCGATCACCCATAAATAATAATCCTCCTCCCACTGACAACAGCATTGCACAAACCAGTAATAAATCACCTGCAAACGAAAATCCACCCCCATCACCACGAAATAATCAATCGCCTTCAGAACCCAATAATAACGCCACACCAAAGAGTCCCGCGAAAGGGGAACAAGCCGCGGATATACTCGAATTCCTGGTCGAGCACAACAAAGTCAGGAGCAGTGTAGGCCAACCCTTCTACTTGTGGGACAAAAAATTAGAGGATTTCGCACGTTCATGGGCAAACGAGCGGATCCAAGACTGCAAAATGATCCACTCCGACGGACCCTACGGAGAGAACCTCTTCTGGGGCGGCAGCAATCGGTGGACAGCAGCAGAAGCGGTGAGATTGTGGGCGGATGAACGTCAATTCTATAATGCCGAGAACAACACGTGTCAAGAAGGGAAAACGTGCGGGCACTATACGCAGATTGTTTGGAGAGACAGCTACAAGCTAGGGTGTGCTCGGGTTGAATGCAGAAAAGGCGGCGTCTTCATCGTTTGTGCGTACGATCCATGTGGAAATTATGAGGGCGAGAGTCCATTTGACATACACGAAACTCAGCAGAGCCCAAGTACTAGTACAGGGCAAAGATGATGGAGAATTATATGTTTTGGCATCCATTGTTGAAGAAATTCTTGATAGTACTGGGGTTTTGGATACTTGAGCTTCTTCCATTAATTAATGTAGTTAAGATGAGTGTAATTCTTAATTTAAATGGGTCTTGGGTCACCATAACTTTTTTCATTTTTAAAAAAAAAAATGGGTGGCTAACAAGATGCCACTAGTTTTTGCTCTTTTTTTTTTTCTTTTTCCATTTTTTCTCCCAATAACTGTTGCAGAATGAATATTATCAGGTAAATAAATAAATAAATAGAGATGGAGATTTTCATGGCAATGCGAGTATATATCAACCACGAAAGCACGTATCTGGAACAAAAATCTTAATTTTTATCCTCACATTATGTTATTCTTAGACCATTTTTTAAGGAATTTTACGTTTTAAATTTGCAGTTTTAGAATACAGTTTTTCTTTTTTAATAAATATTTATATTTCGAATATCAAAAGTCATTTTTGTCAAGTACACTTCTTTTATTTTTTTTTTTAAATAATATTTTTTATAACTATTTTTATCAAAAAAAAAAACAAATAATTAAAACTGTTTCTAGTGAATAATAGTTCTGATAATATTTTTAAATTTTATAATATAAATTACATTCGCCTTAAACACCTCCTTAGCGTAAAAACTAATTTAAAGTTAAATAAAAATAATGTATTTTAAATTCTTCAAGCATTTATAGATATTGGAAATTAATTTCCCACAGTTAAAAGAGAAGATATGTCAGTCAAACTAATTGCACGCTAAAATAAAAATAAAAATTATTAAATATCAATTGATTAGAAAACTAAAAACTATTAGATTGGAACTTTATTATCTGGTATGAAAACAATTAATTAATTTTCAAATTTTTGTATTAATAAAGAATATAATATAATTTATTATCTGAAAATTCATGCAAAAAAGTGATATCTAAATAATGAATTTTCTTTGGAACTCATTAAACCATAATTGTTATACCTGACCCCGAAAAATTAGCCCAATATAAATTTTGTTAATTTAGAGACATAAAAAATATATATTTTATAAATTAGTTTAATGAAATTTTTGTTATATTTGGGAAAAAGTAAATTAGGGATGAGATTGAAAATAATTTTAAAAAAAATAGGTAAAAATTTAGGTTCAAATAATATTTTTGAAAAAAAAATAAAAAATTGGGGGTTATAATGCAAATAAAAAAAATTTCACTACGTAAGACCGTTTAGTCAGCAAACTCGACGAATTGGAGCGCGTTGTGTGGCATTGTCGGAACACGGCGAAGCCGCCGTGCTGGAACCCCAAATTGGCTAAAAATGATTTTTAACACCGAATTTGAGTTTTTGGGGTATTTTTAGGTACGGGAATAGTGTTTTAATACCTACAGGAAAATTCAAGAAACTCGAATACTGCCAGTAGGTACAGTAGAAAGTTCAGTATTTTGGACACCAATTCGAGTAAGAATCTCTCACCTTATTTCCTGTTATAGAATTGAAGCTTAATAATCAATAATATGGTATTTTGTAAAATTTAGAAGAACTTTGAGAATAATTACAAGTCACTAATGAAGCCGAAACTGATTAGTTATTTATTTATTCTGTTTAATTGATTATTTGAATTTATAGCTTTAAATACATTATAATATATTGAAATTGTTAAAAGATTCAATTG